TCACGATCCGCTTTACTGCAAAGAGTGCGGGAAGATACTCAACAACGGGCCTGCTTTCGAGAGGCACAAACTGATGCACAGGCCAATGCAGTGCACAATGTGCGACAAGACTTTTACTTTACTGAGACGCTTGAGGGAGCACTATGAGAAGCAGCACAACTTCACTGGACCATATCCATGTTCACAGTGTGACAAAACCTTCATCCAGCTGTCCTACCTCGCCATCCACCAGAGGATCCACAAAGGAGAGTTCCCGTACATTTGTAGCATGTGTCCAGAGAAGTTCAGGTCTTCCAACTGCCTGACAGTTCATCAGAGGAAACACACTGGGGAGAAGCCCTTTTTGTGCTGGCAGTGTGGAAAGTGTTACCGCTCGGCCTCGGAGCTCACAGTCCACATGGGAACCCACTCGGAGGAAAGACCGTGGGCCTGCACACAGTGCGACATGGCTTACCGCACAAAGCTGCAGCTGACGAACCACATCGAGCAGATCCACATCGGCGTCAGGTATCCCTGCAACATCTGTGGGAAGCCATTCATGAAGGAGACATCCCTGAAGAGACACGAGCTGATCCACACCGGAGAGAGACCTCACCAGTGCACAGTGTGCGGTAAGACCTTCCTGACAGCCAATGAGCTCAGACTACACACCAGGTACCACACTGGGGAGCGCCCCTACAAGTGTGAAGTGTGTGGCAAAGCCTTCATCCAGTCAGGATATTTGAAGTCACACATGCGCATCCACACAGGAGAGAAGCCATTTAAATGTGACATATGTGACAAAGGCTTCAGGTTGTCGTATCACATGAAGAAACACAGGCGGACCCATGCCGGGAAGACAAAGAGCTACATATGTGAGGAGTGTGGATTAGCATTCCTCCAGAAGAAATCCCTCTGGGAGCACTCGCTCACTCACGATGTGAAAATCAAACCTTCATTTACTGAAGTGAAGATTGAATTTCAGTAGAAATGCTTTTCTTTTCATGCAGGTTGTTTCTCAAGGTTCCTGGCATGGTCAACCAAAAAGGTTCTTGCTTCTTAATTTGTTCCTTGTTATTTGATTTTGACCAATTTGTAAGTTGGTGTTCTTTGCTTTCCTTTGTTCCATTTCTTGTTGTTGTTGTTGTTGTGTAAAGCATATTGATGATCTATAAGGCATGTAATTAATTTCTGCTTTACATGGCTTTTGGAAATAAATCAACTGTCAATGTAACAGCTGCTTCCTTTATTTTTAAGCACGAGTCATTGTAGCAGTAAATAGATCAGGTAAGGGACAGCAATTTCAATGAGCAGTTGGTTGTTTTAAGTTACTGTTACAAACAAAATGCCATACAGACACTAGTTGTTGTATATCACTATACATTTTATGGGTTTGTACTGCTGGTGCACAAAACACGCAATTTAAATATGTCATCATGGATCCTCCTGAAGGATATGTTTCCAGGTTTTAGCCCCTGTTATTAGGTGTTGCTAATATTCTGACCCTCTCATATATGTAGCTGGGAAGGACAAAAACATAGACACATCGGAATATAATCTAGTCCAGTACAACACCTTTAACTATATCGCTGAATTTATGCATTTATGACAATTCCACCCAAAACTGAAACATTCTGAGCTTTGGAAACACAGATGTTAAGGCGGAAGTGTTGCATTGAATTGCTTATTCACCACTGCTGTCTGATTTCAGGCTGCAGCTAATGAGTATTGAGAGTATGAGAAAGTCTAAAATCCAAAGATGTTTTGTTTACTCCCTCATAAAAGAAAAGCAACAGATCCTGACAACTGAGTTCACTGAGTGAATGAAATAGTTTGATTCATTTTCAGCTGATCCATTAATCAGTGTATCAGTGAAGTAGATCTAATTACACATTGAGTACTCAAAATTGTTAGTATTCACTACATAAAAATTTCTCAGTATACTTTCTTTGCAATTGCAAAACAAACACGTCACTGTTTTATACTAATAGGAAATAATACAGTATGTGTGTCAAAGCATTGAGCTATGTTGTAAGCACGTCAGTAGTCTTTTTCAACCACAAGATGGCAGTACAGGATTAACAATGAGGCTCAGGGGTCAGCAGCTGTACTTCACAGGGGAGGGTGAACTGTCAGTGTTGCCACCTGCTGTCACAGCTTGTGTTGAAGAATTTGAACTTCTGCACGCTTCCTAATGTATAAATAATACAGTGTTTATCCTTCATCAACATCTATGACTCCGTTCTCAGTAAGTACTGAAAATGAAATGCAGAAAATCCATCTGTTTTGGTTCTTAGTTCTGGGGAACATGTTTTTTTAATGCAACTTTTTACAACTTAAATTTCCCAATAATAGTTTATATTGGCTCAGTGTCACCTGGCAATTTACTCAGCCCGACTGACTGCTGAAACCACAGCAGCTGCAGCTAGAGTAGCATCTCTGCTACTTTCCAGATAAACTGCTCCCATTTCAGAGAAAAATCAAAAGCCAACTGAGTGAGAGCCTCTTGAGAGTGTTGGGGACAAATCACTTTTTAACCCAAAGCATATTGATTTATATGAGGTTATGACTGCTTTGGCGTGTCCTGAGTAGTTGGGTGCTGGCAGAGATCTCTTTCCTAGACATAGCCAGGTGGTAGGCAGAGAGTAGCAATACACCCACTCTCCAAAAAGCCAGAGAGCTCGTTGTTGTACAGTACACTTCCCTGCATGCTTTGAGGTATCTCGTGCAGGCCCGTGTTGGGCTCGACAGCACGCTATGAGCAAACCCAGATGTGACAGACCACTCGCTGACAGTGAATAGTCCCAAATCAGTGCATTTCTTTGGCTTTTTCATCTGCAGTTTCCCCCTCCATGGTTAGCCTGTAATTCCTGTGCATGCTATTGTTCAGTTATTTGTTTTGTGCTTTTGTTGCTGACTCGGTGGAACATTCCTGAGCGCATGCTCTAACAGACTTTGAGAATACCATGGTGTGGCAAGCCCGGGGAGTAAACAAAATAACATAAACACTCCATGAAAAAGGAAGTCACCAGTGAAAGTGCCACCACCAGGGTGTTTGTTGCCATGATGTTGTGTGACCAATGCACCTGCGGTTTTTGTGGCCACACAGGAAGTCTTTCAGCTCTCCATGATGTTTTAAAGCATTAGTTCCCAACCTGAGTCTGAGAAATGTAAGATACAGTATGTAGTACATGTTTATATTGCCCAAAATTATGTTTATTTTGGCTGAGTGGATGCATCCACCTTTTCAGGCCTTTAAAAATCCTTCCAATTAAACAATCTGAGAGGAACAATCAAAGCTCATGTCCACACTAAGGTCATAACTTGTAGCAAGAGGTCACAAATAGACCCTGATTTGTTTTAAATGTTCAGAATTTTGTCTATTTCATGACGAGAACATTGATAGGAGTATCCCATCAGTATGGTAAATATAAAGTTCCATCATCAGCCAGCTAATTTAGCTTAGTGCAAAGAGAAAGCAGGGGGAAACAGCTAGTCTTTGTCTAGAGGAAACAAAACCTACCTATCAGACCCTCTAAAGCTCATTACGATTATCATGTTATGCAGGGATATAAAAAGTGTTAAAACAACAACTCAAAGTTTTAACATTTTAAGTTACTGGTCCTGCTGATGGTAACTTCATATTTAACTTGTAGGCATTTCAATGATATCAAGCTTTTCATCTAAATCGTGTCAAGAAAACAAATACATATATATCTCACAAGTTTGATCACAAGCCAAAACGATGGGCTGATTTGAAGCTAAGTGACATCTACTGTGTGGTCTACTCTCTGCTCTTGTTGTCGTTGTCTCCAACTGCAGGAGAAAGGATTTCCTGTCAAAAATGATCTGATCAAAGTTAGATAAAGTTATCACCAATAACCAGCTGGTGAACATAGTGGAGCACTTAGCAGTATAAGAGTTATGTATTTTCCCTAGTAGTTGGTAAAGACCAAATCAGAGCTAAGAGAAGAGCAAATATCATACAGATGGGAAGAAATGCAACTGCAAATGACCGGTGTGGTAGGGATGATGTATCTTTATAAGCCAGCCCAGAGGTTAGCATCACCCTGGTTCCCTTGACAAGAAGCCAATGGGAATTTTTCATGGGCTTTTGGATTACTGCAGAAGATGAGCTGTGTGACAACCTGAAGTTTATGACACCAAGCAAATGCCACTTTTTTGATTTTTAAAACCTAATAGCCAGAAGTAAAAAGCTGCTGTTGTACTATAAACAAACTACATCACGGTCCCATGCCTTTGTTAGTGTGCTTATCTCCTCTGTAAAATCCTTTCCTCTTAGTGTGACCTGAACTAGCTAGTGTTCATGGCTGTGTCAGTTAGAATAATTTGTAGATGCGTGCTTTTAAACACAGTGAGGCTGTAAAGGCAGATTAGTGGTCTCATTCAGCCACTTGTTAGCAACCACTTTTTCAAGGCATGTAAAAGCTTTAAAAATCACAAGTGGGGTATTTACTGATGTAGTTTATGTCACAGAATAAACTATTGAAATCTTTTGAACTTGTGTTAACCACAGAGCCTATTTCAGACATCTAACCAAAGCTCCATTCAAAAAAACCCACCGACTTCGGGATGAGGGAGCCAGAAGTGCAAAAATGCTAACTCATTTCCTGGTTTTAGAATTCACTACTACGCTACTAAATATATGATGAGTGGTGGGTTAGCAGTGACAACACTGTAAAGTAATATGTTATTACATATTATGAGACGACCCCCCAAGTGGTGCTTGTTGAATCGATTAGTGCAGCTTTAACTGATACGTTCTGCTAATTGCAATCAGCATTGTTTAGACTTGAATGAATCAGTCACTGTTGTATGTTCTGTTGCATGGAAAAAAAACATAATCGCATTGGCTGGATAGACTGGTAACAGAGAAACATACTGCAAACTAGTGCCTGAAGTATGTGGATATTTTGTTTTCATCACTGGTAAATGGGGGCGCAGCCTCCAAGTCTAGTTTCCAAAGAAACTGATGTGATAACATCCAGTTTTTGAAAATCCTGCTACTTCCATCATGTTCAGCAATCACAAACAGTTAAACTGTCCCTGAGAGCTTGTTGAAAAAGTAGGTTTTGATCATCAACAGGCACCACAGAATTTCCTGATCTTTTTGCCAAAATACTTTGACCTCTGCTTGTTACTATGGAAACATAGCATATCAAAACAAGCGCCCCACTTTTTTGCTTTTACTCCATGACGCACCTTTATTTCTTCCATATGAACAGTATATGGCACAGCGGAGGCCTTCGATAACAATATCCACTCTGAATACAGTGCCACACACAAACTCAAGTACACCACACCCTGTTTAACCACCAAGCTGGGGAAAGTAATATACACAGTTTAAAAAAAAAAAAAAAAATTTAAAAATTACCCTAACAATCACTTGCAATAGATACCCTACTTTCATTGTTTTTGCAAAGCTTTTTTGTTTTAGTCAATGGATAACTGAGGAAATAAAACAGAGAGAACCCACTGAGCTGGAAAAACCCTCAGACTAATCAAGAGAATAGAGAATGATTGCTCTCCTAATCAAGAGTGTGCATGTGCATGCACTTGCTTGTGTGCGTGTCCTGAAGTGAACCTCTGTGTGTGCCCAGACATATCCACAGCCTCACACGTTCCCTCCCAACTTGGGTACCTGCCCTGCAATCCCTGTACACAGCCCTCCATCGTCCTTTGCTGCCGTGGTGTTCACACAATATAAAACCAAAGGCTTTATCTTGTTTTTCATCCACTCTAATTCTTCCTCCGTCCTCTCACTTTCATCCACTTGCATTCATTTGCATTCCCCATGGCTATCTGTATCTGTGGATCCCTCTGACTCTGACATTTGTTTGGCAGGAGGGACCAGACGGGATGCTGTTAACGCTGTAAAAAATGTCAATCTTTGCAAGTCTTTTGTACTGCTTTTTGTTCCATTTGGGGTGATCTAACTGCTTGCTGCCAAATTTGGTGCAAGGATTTTGTCATCGCTGAGTATAACTCTCCTTAAACAAGTCGGATCACTCGCCTATTACCAATGACGTGACAAAATTTAAGAAAACAATTTTTAGAAAGCAGGCATACATTTTAAATACACACACTTATCTATGTCACACCATATTTAAATATTTCCTTAAAAGAAAACGTGTCATTTTGAGACTCATTCCTGATCAAAATGACTTGCAAAGATGGACATTTTTTACAGTGAGCACTTTTCCCTTCCTACACCAGAAGGGAGCGAAAACAAGCCTTTCCCTGGTCAATGAGTTCACTCGAGCGAACATCTCCATAGACAAGACTGTGCAAAAAGAAAAGAGAGTCTGGAAGAGGGAGGGATAGAGAGAAACCTGGCACCAAGGCAGTTCAGAGCACTGGGCTTTGGAGACAGCAAACAAGGGAAGGTCAGCCCCCATCCCCCTCTTCTTCTTCCTCCTACTGCATCAGCAGATGCACTGCACAAGCCCATCATCAATACTGCCAGACCACAGCTACAGCAATAAAAGGAAAATCTGTGATGAAGCATTTACACACTAGATTGTGGGGTTTTTTATTCAAGAGGCAGCAATAGATGACACATCTATGATAAATTACTGCCAGAGAGGCTGATGAGCATCAGTGACTAGCCATCTCCCTGATCTGATGCTAACAAGGTCATCTTCTGGTCTGAAAGCAGCTCAGCCCCTTTAATCAGAGGAGCATCATCATATTCCACATTATATCCTCAGCTCTTGACAGTGATGCAATCCAACAGGGGAGGCAAGCAGAAACACTGCCTTGAGAGGAGGATAGGTCAGGTCACAGACTGAGGCTGTTAACTCGCACGTGTTGGCAGAAAACAGTTAGGAGTTCTTGGAAAGCCATGATGAAAACATAATGAAACCGAAATTTGGCAAGAGCTCAGGATGCAGACGTTATTTAATGCACCAGCTGTCTAGCTGTGAAGTACAGCTGCAATTGTGATTATTTTCATGATCAATTAAACTCCTGATTGTTTTCCTGATTAAACATTTGGTAAAAAGTCTTAAACCCAAAGTGTTGCTGTCATGGCAAACTACAGCCCTTTTCAGTTGTGCACCAGAACCCTGACATTCTCTAGACATTACCCAGTAGAGCTGTTGTGAAAACTCAAATGCCAGTCAGTGGACTTTGCTCTGCCAGCTCCCGAGTACAAGGTTCATGTAAGGTCCGAGTGAGCTGGACGGAGCCCATGTGAGAATACAGGAGTGTACATTCCTGAGTATTCACATGGAGCTAGTGGGTGTGTTGATGACATTCTGCCATGTGAGTGACGCGAAGCCAGAAGAATACAAACGTCCCATGGTGAAGAAAAATGGTCATTTATAACAACAACAAAAATATCAAACTCGAGGCACTACAAGATCGATGCCAGAATCATCAGACAAGGCAAGTCATGGTTGTTTATGACCAAATTACAAACTGGCTACATGACCACGTCATGTCCTACTTTATGCATGTTCTACCCTGATTTCATGGACATAGTTCGGTGTTCATGTGTGGAAATGGCTTGAGAAAATCATGTACATTTGACAAACTGGAACTGGTATATTTTTGGTACCCAATATAATATGCTAGTTTCTATTGATAGAGCAGGAGTCCACCAGTCCCACACAGGGTCTAGATTAAGAGACATTCATGGTTCTGTGGTTCCTAAAGATTATCACTAATAACTTCAACCAGTGTGCAGGTTACATGAAGAGTGATTTCCCCTTTTTTAAATTGTTTTGTATGATTTTTTTTTAAACAAAACTATTCAGTATTTCACAAGAAAAAGCAAATTTATGACAAAAGTTGGAGAAAAATTTTATATTCTATGGCTCCTGTCATGCTAATCAACTTGAGACCCTTCAGTTTTATCTTATGATCTCTTTAAGGGCCCCACTCCTCATGTTGAGAACCAGTGATTTCAGTATATGTTGTGGTTTCTAAACCATGAATGTGATTCAGTGCTATCCACGTTATTACGAGGACATTAGATTGTGCTCGTGTTTTGACCCACTGTACCGCAACAACTCTAACTGTTGTGTATCTTTAGCCTCTGTCTTTTTTGGGTCTAACCTTGCTCACATGAGCCAAGCATGCTGGGATATATGCTGCTGTCGTCTTTTATGATTGGGTCACAGCACTGATCTCCGGTTTAGTGCCTGGATCAGTGCTGATATCCAATCCCTGCCGGAAGCAGCTCCCTTTCAGACATCTAGCTGTGCTCTGGAACACTGGGGTCCTTACGTTAACATGATGAGAGTGGATGGCTCTGCCCAGTGTGTGCCATCAAGCACCGTAAAGCATCTGCCTCTGTAGTTAGCTCCAAAGTGGAGGCTACAATCTGTAACATCAGAAATATGATTAAATGTCATCTTCACCATAAATTCCCGTGTGTTTTTTTTTCTCCACAATTTTTTCACGGCGGTCACTCAGTTTACAGAAGCATCGGATGTCACTTGAAAACAAACCAGCTTCTGAGTTGTCACTGAGTGAAAATCAGCAAAGGAAATTGGATTGATAGTGAATTTTTTTACAAGAAATAGTGACAATAAGCAGAAAAGCAGCAAATGTTTTTTTTTTTATCTCTACAGTTTTAAAAGTATATTTTTTTTTCCATATTTATTCCAGTGCAAAGCTTCTTTTTTTTGTAAAGCTTTTCATTAGGTATCCGTGATAGCAAGGCAGTGTTGACTAAGTGGCAAAGTGTTTTCAATGATTTATTTTACCCTTACCCAAATCGAACTTTGGACTGTCTGCTGAATTACGCAGTGCCAAATTACGCACAGTAAGCAACCGTCATATCATAACTTCCAGCCCGTGTTTAACTTTTCTTTCATGAGCTTTCAGCATATAACACTGTGTGTTATGTGAGAGTGAGCTGCTGCGCCACATTTTTTTTAATCTGAACTACCAACCAAATAATACTGAGAACTAAATTCAGTCCCGTTCTTAGAAAAAAAGAGAGATGACGTTATTTGAACATGTGCCGAAAATCTTTAATGAATAACTTCGGACGAGTAGGAGGCAAATGCTGCCCCAGCTGTTTCCTGTTGAAAATGTCTGTGTAATGTAGATAAATGTGAGGGATTTTCTTTCTAAATCCGTCTCCTGTTCGCTAAATCTCACTTCTCCTAAACGAGTCTGCGCAATGGAACAAAGTCGGAATATTGAGATGTGACATTGCCCGCATCTCATCCTCTTTCTCCGCGTTTTTTAATGACTTCAAACAAGTTCATTTTCGCCGGGCTTTGTCTTGCGGAGACCCGTGGGGATGACTAGCGCTCTTTCCTCTCAGTGGCATTTATGTGATGTCTTCAAGGTAATTTACCTGATTTCCTTTGACACTATAGATTATCACCGCGATTCTTCACTTGCTCAGTATTTGCACAGAGCATCCTTATCTAGATTAAGCTGAAACAGTAAAAGGGGGTTTTAATCGTTTAAAATTGGAGCTTTTAAATGCATGATAAATGTGGATTTATTTAATTCTATATTTTTGTTATTTTTTATCACCTTAGTGAGGAACAGTCTTATATGTTTGGGTTTTTTCTCTATAAACAACACAATCTTGTCCCCTTTTTTTGCTTTAATTGACGTTTGTTTTTTGTTTTTTTTTTAGAAATCTTGACATAAATTGTGCAAGAGTTTCACTGCTCGGATAGATTTTCATCCTCGGCGCCTCTGTGCGCTCTGTTTTTTTTTTTTTTTTTTT